CTGCTGGAGGACATTAAGGGAGAGATTAATAGCAATACAATCATAGTAGGAGATTTTAATACCCCACTGTCACCCTTTGACAAATCATCTAAACAAAAAATCAGCAAAGAAATATCAATCCTAAATGACTCACTAGACCAGATGGAATTAATTGACATCTTCAGAACATTCCACCCCAAAGCCACAGAATATACATTCTTCTCAAGTGCACATGGGACATTCTCAAAAATAGACCACATTTTGGGACATAGGCAAAGTCTCTTCAAATTCAAGAAGATAAAAATCATATCAAGCATCTTCTCAGATCATAATGGCATAAAACTGGAAATTAACTACAATAAAAATAATCCAAAGAAATCAAACACATGGAGACTAAACAACATGCTATTAAACAAGGACTGGGTTACCAGAGAAATCAAGGAAGAAATTAAAAACATCCTGGCAACAAATGACAATGAAAACACAACAATCCAAAATCTATGGGACACAGCAAAAGCAGTTTTGAGAGGGAAGTTCATATCCTTACAAGCCTATTGCAAAAAACTAGAAAAAAGGCTAACAAATGATCTAACTCTACAACTCAAAGAGTTAGAAAAAGAGCAACAAGAAAAACCCAGTGTAAGCAGAAGAAAGGAAATAACAAAAATCAGAGCACAGATAAACGACATAGAGACCAAAAAAACAATACATAAGATCAACAAAACCAAGAGCTGGTTCTTTGAAAGGATAAACAAGATAGATGGACCTCTAGCCAGGCTAACCAAGAAACAAAGAGAGAGGACCCAAATAAACAAAATCAGAAATGAAAGAGGTGAAATAACAGACCCAACCGAAATACAACAGATTGTTACAAAATACTACGAACAACTCTATTCCAACAAATTGAACAACCTGGAGGAAATGGATATATTCCTAGAAAAATACAAACTGCCAAAACTCAATCAGGAAGAATCTAAAAATCTCAATAGTCCAGTGACGTGGGAAGAAATTGAAACAGTTATCAAAAATCTTCCAGCAAACAAAAGTCCAGGGCCAGATGGCTTCACAGGAGAGTTTTATCAAACATTCAAGGAAGAACTAAAACCCATCTTCCTCAGATTACTCCAAAAAATCCAAGAGGAAGGAATACTTCCAAACTCCTTCTATGAAGCCAGCATCACCCTAATACCAAAACCAGACAAAGACAACTCAATGAAAGAGAATTACAGGCCAATATCCCTCATGAACATAGATGCCAAAATCCTCAACAAAATTCTAGCAAATCGACTCCAGAAGAACATCACAAAGATCATACACCATGACCAAGCAGGATTTATTCCAGGAATGCAAGGATGGTACAATATCCGCAAATCAATAAACGTGATACATCACATAAACAAATTGAAAGATAAAAATCATATAGTCATATCACTTGACGCAGAAAAAGCATTTGATAAAATCCAACACCCCTTCCTGATAAAAACTCTTAACAAGGTGGGAGTACAAGGATCATACCTCAACATAATAAAAGCTATATATGATAAACCCACAGCCAACATTATACTCAATGGGCAGAAACTAAAACCATTCCCTCTAAGAACAGGAACAAGACAGGGATGCCCACTCTCGCCACTCCTGTTTGACATAGTTCTGGAAGTACTAGCCATTGCAATTAGACAAGAGGAGGAAATAAGAGGCATCCAAATTGGAAAAGAAGAAATAAAGTTATCCTTATTTGCAGATGACATGATATTGTACATAAAAAACCCAAAAGACTCCATTAAAAAACTAATTGACTTAATAAATGAATTTGGCAACGTAGCAGGATACAAAATTAATGCCAAGAAATCCATGGCATTTTTATACACCAACAGCGAAACTATAGAAACAGAGGCTAAAAAAGCAATCCCATTTACCATCGCACCAAAAAAATTAAGATACCTAGGAATAAATTTAACTAAGGAAGTAAAGGACCTATATGCAGAAAACTACACGACACTGAAAAAAGAGATAGAGGAAGATGTAAGGAGATGGAAGAACATACCATGTTCATGGATTGGTAGAATCAACATCATCAAAATGTCCATACTTCCTAAAGCAATCTATAAGTTCAATGCACTCCCCATTAAAATACCAACGACATATTTCACTGACCTAGAAAGAACTCTCCAAAAGTCCATTTGGAACAATAAAAGACCCCGAATAGCCACAGCAATCCTGAGAAAGAAGAGTAAAGTAGGAGGGATCTCAATACCAGACTTCAAACTATATTACAAAGCCACTGTTCTCAAAACAGCCTGGTACTGGCACAAAAACAGACATATAGATCAATGGAATCGAATTGAGAACCCAGATATCAACCCAAATCACTATGCTCAATTAATATTTGACAAAGGAGGCACGAATATACAATGGAGTCAAGACAGTCTCTTCAATAAATGGTGTTGGGAAAATTGGACAGACACATGCAAAAGAATGAAACTAGATCACCAACTTACACCATTCACAAAAATAAACTCAAAATGGATACAGGACTTAAACATCAGGCAGGAAACCATAAAAATACTAGAAACATCCACAGGCAGCAAAATCTCCGACGTATGCCAAAAGAACTTCTTCACTGATACTGCCCCTAGGGCAATGGAAGCTAAAGAGAAAATAAACAAATGGGACTACATCAAAATAAAAAGCTTTCTTACAGCAAAAGAAACCATCAACAAAACAACAAGAAAGCCCACAGTGTGGGAGAACATATTTGCAAATAATACCACTGATAAAGGTTTAATCTCCAACATCTACAGACAGCTTATACAAATAAATAAAAGGAAGATGAATGATCCAATTAAAAAATGGGCAATGGACCTAAATAGAATATTTTCAAAAGAAGACAGAAGGAAGGCCAAAAGGCACATGAAAACATGCTCAAAGTCACTAATTGTCCGAGAGATGCAAATCAAAACAACAATGCGGTACCATCTCACACCTATCAGAATGGCCAACATCAACAAATCAACAAACAACAAGTGTTGGCGAGGTTGTGGAGAAAAAGGAACCCTCGTGCACTGCTGGTGGGAATGCAGACTGGTGCAACCACTGTGGAGAACAGTGTGGAGTTTCCTCAAAAAACTGAAAATGGAACTCCCATTTGACCCAGTAATCCCACTTCTAGGAATATACCCCAAGAAACTAGAAACACCAATCAGAAAGGATATTTGCACCCCTATGTTCATAGCAGCACAATCTACAATAGCCAGAATTTGGAAACAGCCTAGGTGTCCGTCAGCAGATGATTGGATCCAAAAACTTTGGTACATCTACACAATGGAATACTATGCTGCCATAAAAAAGAAGGAATTCTCATCATTTGCAGCAACCTGGATGGAATTGGAGAACATCATGCTGAGTGAAATAAGCCAATCAATGAAAGAGAAATACCACATGACCTCACTCATTGGTGGACAATAAAGCTCTTTATGAACTGATGAACCAAGAGACAGAGATAGAGAAAGTAAAGCAACAGGCAGACTGTCAAATTACAGTGGGGAGGGGAGGAAGATCTGGGGGAGATAATAGATCAAACGAAGGACTTGTATACATGCATATAAGTACAACCAATGTTCATAAAACTCTGGGGAGGGAGGGGATGGGTGGGAGGGAGGGAGGGGGGTAAAAAAAAATCAATAAAATATGTAAAAAAAATCGACGGCGTGAAGCCGCCGCTCCCGCTGCCACCGCCGCTACCACCGCGAGGTCTGAGCGCTGGGCTGCAGCCATGGCCTACTGCCGGCAGGAAGGGAAGGATCGAATTATATTTGTGACCAAAGAAGACCATGAAACTCCAAGCAATGCAGAGCTGGTGGCTGATGACCCCAATGATCCATACGAGGAGCATGGATTGATCCTGCCCAACGGAGAAATCAACTGGAACTGCCCGTGCCTTGGGGGCATGGCTAGCGGCCCCTGTGGGGAACAGTTCAAGTCAGCCTTTTCCTGCTTCCACTACAGCACGGAGGATCTCAAGGGGTCAGACTGTGTAGACCAGTTCCGGGCCATGCAGGAATGCATGCAGAAGTACCCAGACCTCTATCCCCAGGATGAGGAGGAGGAGGAGGAGGAGGAGGAAGAGAAGAAGCCAGCAGAACGTTTAGAAAAGGCAGCTGCCGCCGAGGCCACCGCAGCCAAAGAAGAGAAGGGTTCAAGCTAATGAAGGCCGCGCCGCAGCCCTGGCTCCGGGCCTCCCGCTCAGAGTGACGTGAACCTTCTGCAAACGCCTTTCAGTCACTCTCCATGAGTCTTTCCCTCCATGGTTCTGTGCACTGTAATGTACAAAATAACTTATTTTGATGATTGGGGGTTTGGGCCCCTTGACATATACACTGAATAACATGGGGTAGTATGTCTGTGTTTCTCACATAACTCTACCAGTGACTGTGGCTGCTCCTTTCGAATTCTCCTCTGAGATTACCTCTAAGTTTGCCACTTTGAAATAATGTGCTGGATACTCTCAGCAACTAAAAATCATTATCTAGGAGTGTGAAAAAAAAAAAAAAAAAAAAAAATAAAATATGTAAAAAAAATCAATAAAATATGAAAAAAAAGAAATATGTCTTACATTACATTTTTAGAGGCCATATTTGTTGAAGGTGCTAGTGCATTTACTTGCTCTGATTTTCTTTCAAACACATTAAATGACCTTGAAGTATGAAAAAAAATAAATAAATAAAATAAAAAAAAAAAAACAGTTTAAGATTACTGTTAAAATCCTTATCAGCTCTCTTTTGTCCCAGAGTTCTTGTGCATTTAAGTAACTTAAAAAAAGTCTGTGGCATACAAATTTTATTATGTTCATTCTGAGGTTTTCTTTTTAGAATTTTATCTCCAGCCAAGCTCTTGACAGAGAAAGTAGAGGCTTTAACACAATAATCTTTTGTATCTCCCCTGACATTTTCAGGAATGCATAGAAATGAAATCCTAATGGAACTAGCCAAACTATTGCATCTCAAGCACTATAGGCTACTTACGGTTGGCATGTTCCTGACAATACTTGGAAACAGTGTTTGAGGCTGTTTCTGCTGGCCTTGCTGCTTTGGTGCTCGCTGGACACTCATGTTCTGTGGCGGCTGGATGGACTGCAGTGGCTGGTGGTTTTTTGACTGGGGCTGTCCAGCAGTCTGATCATTTATGTCTGGCGGAGGCGTAGGTTCTAGATCAATTAAAGGTGGCTTCGATTCTAGTGGCTGTACCTGCTTATGTAAAGGCTGTTTTGATTCCAGATGGTGTGAGGAAGGGCCTAATACCTGACCAACTTGAAAATACGGGTGTTTCAACGCCTATAAAAAGCATGGAAATAACAAATGGAAAATGGTTTTACTTAAATTTAATGTATACAAATTGCTGTTTGACATTGGGCTAGGCATATATCACTAGCCTAGATAGGTTTCAAAAATTTAGAGCATCTAATTTCTCCCATGTGATGACTTTAAAAAGATAACCAGGAAAAAATGATGTGAAAAATAAATTTCTCAAGAGAAATAAAGCACAAGTTAGTAGAAAGAATGTAAAACTCACTTGTAATTTTAACATCAAGGCAAAGCAACTATTCTATTTAAGATTTTATATGAAAACAAAATCTAGCTTATAAGCACTGGTTAAATTTAATGTGACCAATTCAAACTAAAATGCTAGATACTAATAATGGTTTAGAGCCCATCCTAAGGCACTAAGAAATGAGTTAGAAAACCTATGTAAATTATTTAAAACTAGAGGCCTGGTGCACAAAATTCATGCACTTGGTGGATTTGGTGGGGTTTCCTCAGCCTGGCCTGTGCCCTCTTGCAGTCTGGGAGCCCTCAGGAGATGTTCAACTTTCAGCTTAGGCCCCCTGTGCTGCTGCAGAGGCAGGAGAAGCTCCCACTACTGCCCCTGAGCTTGCTAGCCATGAGCCAGGCTCAGGGCTTCTGCCTGAGCAGTGCTCCCCCTGGGAGTGCACTGACCACCAGGGGGCAGCTCCTGCATTGAACGTCTGTCCCCTGGTGGTCAATATGCATCATAGTGACCTGTCATTCTGCAGTTCGGTTGATTTGCATGCTAGAACTTTATTATAAAGGATGATTAACTATAACATATATAAAATTCAGGGCAACTCTTAGCCTAAGTATAACAATATATTTACTAGCAATAAAAAATTCTAAGAAAGAAGATTATAAATGCATACATGTTAATGCTTATGTATCAATACATTGGCAAAGAGATGATATATATATATTTTTTAATATATTTTATTGATTTTTTACAGAGAGGAAGGGAGAGAGAGAGAGAGCTAGAAACGTCGATGAGAGAGAAACATCGACCAGTTGCCTCTTGCACATCCCCCACCGGGGATGTGCCCGCAACCAAGATACATGCCCTTGACCAGAATCGAACCCAGGACCTTTCAGTCCGCAGACCGACGCTCTACCATTGAGCCAAACCGGTTTCGGCAATATTTATGGAAAGAAAATATAAAACTACTAATAAAAATGATCAAGGTTTGGGTTTTCACTAGCTCAGTCATCTAACTGCTGCTATTGGAAGTGTGTGACCTGGTGAGCATCTAGAGCAGTGCTTCTCACCTGTGGGTGATTTTGCCCCCCAGGAGACATCTGACAATGTCTGGAGACATTCTTTATTGTCATAACATGGGGGGGGGGGTAGGAAATGTTACTCATATCTGGGCATGCTGTCACGAATGTGCTTAACATCCTGCATGAACACAAGAGTCCCCACAGCGAAGTTATCTGGTCAGGACTGTCATTGCCGAGGTTGATGAAACTTGGTCTAGACAAGCAGTTGTCAATTGGTGGTTCGTGAATCTCTGGTGGTTCATGAGGCCTGAAAGGTTGGCAACTGCTGGTCTAGACGATGTCTAAGCCTTCTGTGCAGCTCAGCTATGGATGCTGATCCTCATATCAGTGTCATACGCCTGGATAAAGGAGGTAAGTGCCAAGTTCTGCTGAGTTTCTATTTGGGGACAGTAGGGAGCCTCCATAAGATAGTCAAGCTGTTTTCCTGCACTTCCTACCCTATGTGAGCAAAACCCTAACCCAGAGTTAACTTCTCGGGTGTGTAAAGGGAGGAGACAGCTCTCTAAATGGGCCCTATATCCTATAACTTAATCCTTCACTAACTAGGTCTCCTTACTTACACTAAAAAGCAGGCCTATGAAATAGTGAACAAGAAAATGGTTAGGAGTAGGGAGGAATATTTTGGCAGGGGTGAAAAGAGTTATTAAGATGTCTCTTGCCCTAACCTGTTTGGCTCAGTGGATAGAGCGTTGGCCTGCAGATTGAGGGGTCCCAGGTTCGATTCCGGACAAGGGCATGTACCTTGGTTGTGGGCACATCACCAATAGGGGATGTGCAGGAGGCAGCTGATTGATGTTTCTCTTATCGATGTTTCTAACTCTCTCTCCCTCTCCCTTCCTCTCTGTAAAAAAATCAATTTTATATATATATATATGTATATATATATATATATATATATGTATATATGTATGTATATATAGATGTCCCTTACCACAACTGATATATGTGTCAATTATACTAACATTGCTAAGTAGAACTCAAGAAATATAGATAATTTGAGTACCTGAGATACAGAAGGTACTCAAATTCTGAATTCAGTCAGATTAATTATTACACTAAACCCTCAATTTTGTAGACCTCGATTTAATGAACTTTGAATTTAACGGACTAAATTTTCAGTCTATATGCCATAGGTACAAATTAATACCATTAATTTTAAAATGCTTTTAACTAAGATTTGCTTATAATTAAATTAACAGGTTATTTTTTGTTATTCATTTAGTTATTTTTAACCATTTTATAGGCCATATGTTGGAAAACACTATAGTAATTTCACCAACATAAATAAATATTACATATCTACAATTATAGTTCACATATTTAAATCCAAGAATCATCCCTCATAAAAATGTTCTGAGAATGATTAGCACGTGATCACAAAGCATCATGAGCAGCCATTGGTTCTGTTGTCACAGGGTCTAACTTTCTGCAGCAGTTGTAATTCTCTCAGGCTGATGTTCCCATGTGTTTTAAGTCACACCCCAGACTCCAGCCATGTGCATTTGTTTACTCTGTGACTGGTAACTGCATGTATTTATAGACCTATTCAGTATAAATTTAAAATTACTGTAATACACATATAAAACTTTTCTGTGAAATTAAAACTTTTCATACTTAAATTTAACTACACAAATGTGTCTACATAAGTAAAAACAGGTTAACTAATTTGTCAATTTTTTAACATATACATTTGGAAAACTTACTTTATTATATTATTAGAGGTCCAGTGCACAAAAATTTGTGCATGCTACGCCTGGCCTGCGATCAAGGACTATTGAGACAATCTCACCCAGTCCCATTGGGTGGGGCTGCTGGGCTGCCAGTCAGAACCTGGGGGCCTGCCAGTTGCCAGACAGGGCCTGCTGGACAGGACTGGAGGGATTGGGGGAGGGACTGTGGGAGGTTTGCTGGCCGGGGGGGAGGGACTGGGGGAGGTTGGCTATGGGAGCGCACTGACCACCAGGGGGAAGCTCTTGCATTGATCATCTGCCCCTAGTGGTCAGTGTATGTCATAGCGGTTGAGTGGCCTTAGCATATCATTACCATATTACACTTTGATTGGTTGAATGGATGACCAGATGACCAGACACTTAGCATATTAGGCTTTTATTATATAGGATGGATTTTTCAGCTTTAACGTACACCTCCTTGCCTAAATTAGTTCCTCATATTGAGGTTTTACTATATGTCAATACTCCTAAATTAAGAATGCATATTTTGGAGCTAGAACATTATGAATGTGTTTTGTAAGTTCAAAGCTTCATCTCTAACAACTTTTCATCTTTAAGATACCAGCTACCCTTCTTCAAGAGAATCTTTTTAAAAATTAATTTCTTTTTTCCTGTTTATTAAGTGAATATTTGACCATTGCATTGTATAAGAAATGTACAGAAATTTGACTTCCGGCCGGACTCTCGGCGCCGCTGCCGCGGCTGTTTGGTCTCCTGCTGCCGGCTCTGCGGCGATGGAGCGCCCGGGGCCCAGCGAAGGCTCCGAGGCGTCGGGACCGGACCCGCAGCTGGCGATCACCATGGGCTTCACGGGGTTCGTTTCTAATTCTTTTATCAAGAATGCTAAATTGGAGGAGGATCCAAGATGGCTGCTCGGGTAGACATCTAGCGGCGGCAGCACACAACAATTTCAATGGAATACAACTAAAATGTAGAGTGGACATTGCCCAGAGCTACAGGTAGTCGACTGACTGAAATTTCTACAACAAGAAGGAAAGAGAAAACCAGAAAGAAAATCAGAGGAGCTGAAAAAAAGCCTAAGGTACGGAGACATGCTGCGCGCGCCTGCCCGCCCGCACGCGCGCACGGAGAGGTCGCAGCCGGAGAGGAGGAGAGGGCGGGGAGCCGCCTTTCCTTCCCTAGCAGGAAGGAAATAAAACCCCCAGCCTGGGCTGAACCCCCGAACCGGCAGCGCTGAGCCCCCCCGAACCCGGCAGCGCTGAGCCCCAGTTATGGGCCAGACCCTGGGGACCCAGGCTCCGGCGGGAGGAGACGGGGCCGTGAGGCGGAAAAACGGCGAAAGGCAGGGCCCCGGGAGTCGCGCGCAATGCGCGCAGAGGACTGAATGTTGACTCTGATGCTGGGTTGCCCTAGCCAGAAGAAACAAGGCCTCCGGCGGCGCTGGGCCTCAGTCCGGACTGCTCCGAACCCCAGTTCTGGGCCAATCCCTGGGGACCCAGGCTCAGGCAGAGGGAGACGGGGCTGTGAGGTGGAGTCCGGGAAGAGCGGCGAAAGGCCAGGCCCCCGGGACTCTCGCAAACTGCGCGCAGAGGACAGTCTGTTGACTCTGATGCTGGACTTCCCTAGCGGGAAGGAGAAAAAAAAAGCTCTAGGCTGGGGGAACGCGGAGGGGAGCGGAAGCCCCTGCCGGACTCCAGCCAACCGGGCACCAGCAAGGAGGCGGGCCACAGGGGCCCTGGGGGCGTGGGTGCCCCTGAGCCTTTGACCACTGAGCTCGGGCAATGGAGCCAAGGCCGGGGGCTGCTTCCTGGGCGGCGCCGTCCCAGCAACAGGCTGAAGCAGCACAGGAGCCCGCGGAGAACAAAGGGGTGCCACAGGCCAACCTGCTGAGCTCCCAGGACAAGGAGGAAGAAACCAAAGAAGTTCTCAATGTGAAGAAATCAAGTGAGAGCAAAAAATAGTAAAATTACTTAAGAAAGAATACAAAGAAGATCTTGAAAAATCAAAGACTAAGTC